CCACGCGGCGCCGTCGTCGTAGGCGAGCGCGGCCGCGGCGCCGTCGCCGCCGGCGGCGCCGCCCGCCGGCGGCGCGACGGCGGTGACGACGACGTCCTCGAGGAGGAAGAGGGACCGCAGGTCCTTGAGCGTGACGCGGAGGTCCTGCGGCAGGCTCAGCGCGCGCGCGTTCGCCGCCGCGCGCTTCAGCGCGGCCGCGCCGAGGCAGAGCGGGTCCCCCGCGCCGCGCTTCTTCGCCGGCGGCGGCGCGAGGGCGTCGGCCGCCGGCGGCGGGCCCTCGAAGTCGAGGTCCGACTTCTTCTTGGCCTTCTTCGGCGCGGGCTTCTTCGCGGCCGCGGCGTCGCCGTCCGCGCGCGCGCGCCGGGGCGCCGCGGCCTTCCAGTGCGCGACGCCGGCCCAGGCGTTCTTGAGGGCCGCGGCGTCGAAGTAGCTCATCTCGTCGGCGCCCGCGAGCGCGCCGGGCTGGAGCGCGAACGCCGTCGCGGCCTCGCCTACCAAGCACGTCGGTAACGATTTCTCTTCGTTTTCCCGGTCAAAATCTCTCGAAAATCGTCACCGCCACAGGACGCTGGGCCTCGCCCGCGGCGAGCGCGGGCCGGCCGAGCGCGCCGCCGCCGAGCGCGAAGGCGTCGACGAGCGTGTTCTCGATGCCCTCGTCGCCGAGGCCGCAGTCGTCGTCGACGTCCGGGTAGTCGTCGTCGCCGTCGTCGTCGCCGCCGAAGAACGCGGGCGCGTCGCCGCCGTCGTCGTGGCCGTCGTCGCCCGCCGGGTACGCGCCCGCGTCGCCGCCCGCCGCCGCGTCGGCGACCTCGCGCCGGAGCGCCGCCAGCGGCGGGCAGACCGACGGCGGCAGCACGCTCCTGGGGAGGAGGTTCTTGAAGGGGATGACGGACACGACCGCGTCCTCGCCGTCGTCGTCGTCGTCCGCGTCGCCGTCGCCGAAGGACACGCAGGCCGCGTCCGCCGCGAGGCGCTGGAGCAGCATGGCCCGCGCGGACCCGCCGTCGACGAGGCCCGAGCCGCCGCCGCCGCGCGAGATGCGCGAGAAGAACGCGTCGCGGTCGTCCTCCTCGACGGCCGCGGCGTCGATCTGGGCCGACGTGCCGAGCGTCGCCGACGCGTCGGCGTGCGTCGCCGCCTTGCGCGCCTTGCGCTTCTTCGGCGCGGCCTACGTGAAAGCGCGGGTTCGCGAGCGCCGCGGGCGCGCCGCCAGACACGCGAAAAACTCTCTAACGACCGCGGGACGCCGCGCGCGCGCCTCCTCGCCCTCGAGCGGCGCGTCGTCCTCGTCCTCGGACTCGTCGTCGTCGGACTCGCCGCCCTTGGTCTTGCCGCGGTGCAGGCTCTCGAGCACGCGGTAGGACGTGTTGAGCGTGTCGTCGACGCGGCTGCTGTAGATCTTGACCTGTGACGATNTTTCGTCGTCTTCCCGGCCAAAATCTCTCGAAATTCGTCACAGCCACAGGACGCTGAGCTTGACGCCGGCCTCGAGGGTGCACGACGCGCGCGTGAAGTTGAAGATCTTGCGCGGCTTGTTGTGCTTCGGGTTCGCCGGGTTCGCCTTCTTCTCGCCCTCGTCGCCGCCCTCGTCCTCCTCGCGGACGACGTCGTGCATGTGGTCGATGA